TATCTCTGAGTATACTTCACTGACCCCACGCCCGCGACAGTAGCCGTTATCGTACAAGTAATGAAGCAAAGACATCTCTTAGTAGCGGAATCAGCGGTTCAGACATTGCGGGTTTGTGCGCAGACTAAAGTCGCGGACCTCCACGGATTAGTATTCGGGAAGGCTATGCCTTGTTTAGCAATAGCACCGAGCAAGACATTCTTTTTTCTATCCAGTGTAGCCAGGAATAGCACATATAAAGCAGTCGGATAGAGCGAACATTGAAATTTACAGTCGTGCTCCGTGAGCCTTGTGGTATGGCTTCACGAATAGTAGATACTCATTTAGAATCTTCTCGTCTGCAACAGTGGGCTTCAAGGATTCTGAGCCCAATGCTTTTTTCAAGAAGTTTTTTTCGTCTACACCGTTCTCCATCCACGTTTTATACTGCGTCAGTCTCATTTTCCCCACAGTCTTTTTCGGATCAAAGAGCTCCTTCGATTCAAAGAGTAGCAACGCTGCCCCTCTATCTCCGTATACTTCTTTGAGCGCCTTGAGCATACTAGAAGTAGCTGTGTCATCATTCCCACGGTTTAGCTTTCTCACATAGCCAGCCCAAGCTTCGAAAACTGGACCGCCAAGAGAAGTAGAATACTGACTTTTGAGCTCCAATTTCATGTAGACATCGACAGGCGACAACTTCATGTTTGCCCAACCCGTAAACTGCTCAAGCTGCAACTCCTTTGCCAATGCTTTAGTCACATCCGACGAACCCGTCGACGTCTTTCCCTTTTCGAGCATTTTGGTCACTGGAACGAGTCCATATTTACTTGCGAGCGTGTCAGCCATCGTCACTGCCGCGTTCGAGCTCTTCTGGTTAAGCTTGGTGATGTAGTAGTGTAGGAATCTCAGCTTGGGGTTGGTCAGCACACTCTCTACGTTGGCACCGAGATTGAGTTTGTTGAGCACCTTGTCTATGCGTTCGTTCCACAGTAGCCAAAACCTTAGCTGAAGTTTGTCGGTTCTTGTCAACTTTGGCAATGCGGCCTTGATTGCTGCGTCAACGCCGGGGAGAGGGCCATTCTGCTTTCATTGTCGCTAGTTACTGGCCTGAGGAGCCTTTCAACTCCCTTGTGGCGCTGAGTGTCACGACGATGCGACAAATTGAGTGGATTTGCGTTGGTGGCCGCACGGGAGCAATCCAAGAATAGGAGGAAAACGGCAAAACCCAGCAGAACCGTGGCGAGGAAGCGCATATTGTGGTGTGAGCGTTAATTCTCTTTTGGTGGAATGATAGGATCAAAATGACAAAGGTTTGAATGTCCATGGACGGTCCATTGGACCCCTGCTGTAAACATGATTTGTCACAATATGTTTTGCTGTACAGTCGTGCACCTCCAATTCGGCAGGGCGGACCATATCAACAGTGCCAGGGCATAAGTGCACAACGTAAAGCATAAAACAAACGCAAACCCAGTGCACTGATATTTATTTTGTTAATTCAGTAGAAAATTTACGTTTAGTTTTGAGACGATGCCTGTGTGGCATCAACAATTTCTATTAGTCTTTGCAGATATGTTGTTTCAGCCTTCAGACAACCACTTCATGGCGAAGTAAACGTCGACCGGTGTGTAAGGAACACCCTTGTCGAACGAGCACGTTCTGAGTGAGAGAGCGCAGGATCTGGCTTGTACTTCTCGCACAAAGACTGCTTTTGTGCTAGAGTTTGCGACATGTATGAGGAAGGGCGATGTCCCATTGTCTTTGGCATAAAAATCAAGTGTTTATTTGTAAAAAGATGTCCGCTCCAAAATTTAAAATCAGATCGATGCGGCGTGTCATCCCTCCCCGAGGAGGGAAAAACCGTTGAGGTTAATTACTAGGGTGGTGATGGGCAAAGGTAATTGCGCATCCGATTCGCCTAATCATAAAATCTGGCAGGGTATCGACTGATACCGGTGCCGAATTGGAGGTTCACGACTGTACATTGTATCGTACAAAACGATCCCCTCGGTAATATTCCCTAGAAACGAAATACTAATTAGCGGTTCCCGTTGACCAGTCACTTACAAAACAAAGATATTACTCTCTCTCACCCCTCCATCGTAAAATGGAACACATTTGAAGTCAAATATCCCTATTCTGGGGTTCTTAACTATGGAAAAGATTTAAATGCACAAGAGAATTGTTGCTGCCAAGTCCGATCCGAGTGTTGAACCGAAGAAATCTATTCTTTTGACTACTTTGGAGGTGATTCGAGCTTTTGGATCACGGAGAAGCGCTCAATCTTCGCTCTAAGTGCACATCTTGGAATCACAGACTGTGATGGCAACACCCTCTTCACTCCACGAAACCCAACTGGCAAGTACCTGGTCGGGTATAGACTGGCGCACGGCTCGTGCCGCGATTTGGTGGCCAGCTGCGAGACCGGAAGTTTGTCCAGTGCTTTTCTGCGCATCAACTGCTTCCAGATCATTGTTTGTAATGAACCAGAGGAAGACCGTAGATTTTTTGAGGCCACGAATCTAGCTCTGTATTGGGATGTTGACTAAACTGCGACAAAAAAATTACTGGCCTAAGATTTTGATCGCAGCGTGCACACACTTATTTGGCATTATAACAACCTGAATATATGCTCCTGGCGCCATACTCGAGGCTGGTGTTCCTTGCGTCTGCCAGCGAGCTTTTGTTTTCGAGTTATTGCCAAACCCCGAAATCGTAGTTTTGAAGCTGGTCAGAGAAGTACGGTGAAGAATGAACGCGCGATGGGGTATCGTTAAAAAATGGCCTGAGTTCGGATGTCTCGTATACAACAATGGTACAAAACGTTGGTACGAATAGGACTAATCATTGATTGCGAGGCAGCAAGGAGTTAGTTAAAGGTTGGCGCGTCGTCAATGACGACAACAGACTCCTTCCAAGGCGTAAAGGGGTTGTCTTATATCTCCCCGCCAGTATAAAATCGTTCCAACCGGTACGCACGACTGTAGACAAACTATGAAACTGAGTAGAGCACTAGATGTACACTCCGCGCCAGGTTATGTCGGCCACCCACTTTTGTGGCCGTAACTCACTCAGTTTTAGTTGTTGAAGTAAGAGATTTGCAAAGGTGTTAGGCAGCTGAGGAGATCGAGAATATATAAACGTAGAGAATCTTGGAGGAGAAGTTTGAATATTGAACTTGTGAAGGATATAATAAAAGGAGTTGTAAATTAAATTTAGTGGTGGAGAAGCTGGTGCGCCCGTCCACTCTGGGATACAACATAGTAATGAAAGTAAGCCTGTAAATAATATTTGGTACAGTGTACTAGGATTGAAAGATGCTATTAGTTCGTTATTATTGATATGTGGGAGCTGCTATTGCTAGAAACATACAGCATTTCGCAGTAGATCAAGTGGCCAGTTTACATGTACAACAATGTGTTTTTAGTACTGCGATAGGATAGATCGGCCAGTCAAAATCATACAATAATACGGAGTATCAAGGCAGTATGAGGAGAGAGCTGTGACTAGGTCGCAAATAATTCACCCAATCACACTGTTTTTGTTCTCTTCTTCTTCAAATGAAGAGCAAACATATCCATTCGACTTTAGAGAGTTTAAGGTAAAAATGATATCGCGTTCTTGCTGGAATGATGAATTCGGTCTTAAAGACATCTTGTCATTTAATAACTGTTTACGGTTATAACCCGTCGGTTCATTACAGTTTTGATGTTGTAACAAGTCTAGAGTCGCCTGCTTGCCGGCGGATCGCGTAGCCGCTCGTGTCTGCTGCGCTGCTCGCCAAGGTCCGTGCTGTTGGTCACCCCGTATGCAACTTAAACACGCTTTTGGCCACCGTCAAGTAGCCGGGTTCCCCCTATTTATTAATAACCAAACAATACGTACTCAAGCTCCACCCTCGCAAAGCATCGGCTTAAGCCACAATCTCCAAGCCACTCGGGAATACGCCTTGGGCGCCTACCCTCTCAATACGCAGCCACCACAGCGGACTTGGGAACCTCGTGCCCCCTTACCGGTCCTAGCTTCACGAAGCCACCCGCTATCTCATACTCTTGCACCGCCAGCAACTCGTCCGCCTCCTCAACACCTTCCAAGCAAGTTAATCTCTTGCGCCACTCACGACACAATCAACTCGCCCCAACTCTCCCAATACTCGTTTGTAGAGCCGTTCGATCTATCACTCACACCGTCTAAATCGTTCCCGTCTTGCTTGCCCTCCTTGTCGTCTTCGCTGCGAACTCCTTGTCTTCCACGCTGCAAATGACGAGCTGCTTGCCCTCCTCGCTGTCAAATGCAAACTGCGACCTGAACGACTACCCTCTGCAGCTCACCCGCTCACTTACCGTCCTTTCCAGGCATGGGATCGCTCGGCGCGGATCCTCACTCTTCACGCCCACTCATAGCGACTTCTCAGACCGAAGATCTCGGTTATACGGCGGTTGTCGCCCCATACAACTTTCAAGCCTGCGACTAGTCACGGTCGCCAGTCCTTCGTCCGATCTCCGCCGTCCGTTGCCATCTCCGACATCTCCGCCTGATGTTCTTCGTTGCCGTTCTTCAACGTCGAACTCGTGTTCGTTTTTGACGCACAGGATTTCACACCGTGGTTGTAAATCCACTCTATTACAATGTGTTGAGCTTTTAAAAATTCTCTTTGGACGGATCAGTGGGATGATACCTTGATACAGGACAAATATCTGTTCGTCTTTAAGCATGGACGATGGAGCGTTATATCCTGGACGTAGAAAACAACCCAGGATGCCTTTTCTTTTTTTTAGAGAAAGCTTGCCGGGGACCTCATTAGAGGCACTTCCTCTAACTCGTAGCCAATCATCATGTTTTTCTAAAAAAAAAAAAAAAAAAGGTGTTCCAGTCACAAATTCCAATTCTGCCTATTAATATGCGATAGTCGTAAGGCATCTGGTTAGCTTGTAGGTAATGCCTCCCAACAAATTGCAGGCTCAGCGCCGATTTAGACCTTTACGGGGTGACGCTGTGAGTGTTTTGCATATTGCCCATACCTCCTACAGAATCATTACGATCGAACACATTGTCACCAGCGCATCTTTTATTGTAACCACTTTCCAATATCATTGTACACTACCACGTAGTATAATCGTACGAATAATATGTTGATTAAGAGAATATGGACACGCGTAGCGCTGTAGTATCAAAACTCAGGTAAAACTGATGCTGAGTCCAAAGGCACGTTAACTGCGGTGGCGCCATTCCTACTATCGGTTCAGGAAGCGAACGTCGTTGCTTTCCGTTTTGATGGCATCCTATCGAGATGGAAACTAATGACCGCGCTAAAATAGCAGCGTATAGTGCTACTGGAATGAACTCCTCATCTGGGGAAGTTGTAGTTCTACAATATTCAGTAGTTCGAATTTTCCAGTTTAGACAGTTTATTTCTTGGTAGCGTACAACTACAGACAACACGTATTCAGCTGTTTATCACCTACCGATCCAAGCACATAATCTACCACTATTGCAATAAAAATGCTCGTCTTTTTCCAGCACTTCATTTATATAAACTTAAGTCATTTTTATTGCAAAGTAAACGTACAGTCCAATAGGTTTATCCTTTTGCGTCGTTTATTCCATGTACTATTATGTGGTGACGTGACTGTGAAAACTGATAACAATGCCAACAGGGTTCCTCGGTTGTAACAAAGATCTGAAGAGGAAGAAGGCTGCGAGGTGAGCAAGCACGTCGAGTTCTCGACGCGTGGACGTGTGGAGCACGAGTGCACTGCGCAGGATGTGGTGATGACGTGCGGCGGAGTGTGGCCACGCAGCGCTGGGGGAAGACAAATGACGAAAACGACGCTGCGAGTACAAGCGTCTGCATGGATATCTACTGCCTGACGTTGATCAGGCAGCCTGCGTATCTGGACACAATGAAGTGTAGTGAGGCCAGTGCACGTGGTGAAGGCAATGGCGTCAATACCTGAGCAGCGACAGAGTAACAGAACGGGGAGCTCCAAGGTGCCCCACAGGACCGGTGTTGTTGCTGAAGCAACACCGTACTGCCGTTGCTGAGATTTGGCTCATCAATAGCACTACGACGCGACTGCTGCGGTAAGTACGGACGGTTAAAGCACATGCAAGGAACATGGACAGTTAGACAAAGGTTGTTAGCATGGACGGTTACCTCACAGATCGTGTGCTCTTCAAGGACATACATAGGACACAAGAGCAGCTAGTGAAAATTGAGGAAGTGCTCAATACATGTCCCTTCTACATTTCCATCGGAAGCAACAACAAATAATTCC